GATGAGAAGCTACTGCTAGTGGCTACTACAGAACTGAATCTTTGGGTAGGTTCTAGCCTCAACAGGGAGACTTGAGAATGCATAGGAAGGTAAATAATCACTGAAAGCATCTTAATAAAAACGACGAGATATATTATAAGCAACTTTAGGGAGGTTTTAGTCCAAAGTAAAAGATGCTTTGTTACGGCACTGTCTGAGTAAGTGGCCTGTTGTTTTCAAAATGCTAAATAAAGGCCAGATCTTACTGGAATGGACAGCCAAATTTGGCAATTATTTTTTTGGAAGACATAAATTTGGATTTCTCCCTGAGTGAATTCTGTTCTTCTCACTTAAGGGGCTTGGCAGCCTATCTGGCTGTCCTATTCCAGACAGTATTAAACCTCTTTTAATCAGTCTGTCTAACGAGAGAAAGCAAACAAGTAACACCTGCTCAGAAGACTCCAAATACATCTCCGTTTTTTACCAGGCGAAAAAAACTTATAATCCTAAAATTTCCAAAGCCATTAAGGTTTAAATCTGTATAATAATTACAGAAATACCTCAGAACTTTCTTATCTGCAGACAGTTTTCAGTATCTTTCAGCTTACCCGGACGCGTTTACCAGAGCCTGGTGGTGGTGACGCTTGCTTTAGATAGAAGCCGATGGATCCTTTCTTGCTGCTAGGAAGATCTTTGAGGTTGGAGAAGCAGACGCTCAGAAGGGTGAGATGAAACGGTAGCTCCACATCTACCATCTTTCGGAAGAGTTTCATTAGTATATCAACCAGTGGGGATATAACGTTGCTGTTTCCTAAAAGAAAAGAAGTTGGAATAAAGCAGTGTCTGTGATGAAGGGTAACTGACTGAAACTTGATTTCAGTTAGCAAAGCACAAAGGCAAACTTCTGCTTCACACTCTGAACTTTCAACATTCTGCATGTACACAAAAATAAGAGATCAGCCCTAAGAAGTTGGGAATACAGTGCTGTTCTTAGCAATAGAACACCTGTAACTCCGTCTATATACACCGAGGAAAAACTTTATTCATCTTAGAACAATAATCCTGAAGTATTAAACTCTAAACACTGCTAAAGGGTTCTAAAACGAAGGGTCAATACAGTCACTGAGATGTGCATTCTGCACAGGCAGGCATCTCCTCAACTAACAGACTTTACCCACCCCCCCAGTAAAACCGCTTAATTTCACACCGACAAAGATTACAGGATGTGCTTAGGTTAGAAAAGAAGAATTATAGAATATAAATCCAGTTAAAGAGATTTCAAAAATCACCCAATTTTACCAGAAGGGGCCTTTACAGGGCCGTGCAGGTATGCAACGTTGCCCCAGCAGTGGTAATGACGGCGTGGTTTACTGCAGCCTGCGTGACTACACCAGCTGACAGCCGTCGTTAGCCTCCTGCAGCGTACACGTCCGGGAGCGGTTCTGAGTGAGAAGCTACACGGACTTTGGGTAGCAGCTCTAGGACCGCCACGAGGGATTCAGGAACTGAAGTCGGGGAACAGTGACTCTGTGCTGACACAGCAGGGACTCAGATTCCCTTCCTCACCCCAGTCTGAATGAAGTGTCAAATGAATTGCAATTGTTGGTTGGAAAGCTGAAGTCTGAGGGTGGGGAGAGCCTTTATGTTACTGATTTTCAGAAGTACATCCGAAAGACAGTACAGAATAAAACTGACAACATAAATCCCTAACAGAGAGAAGCAGACTGTTAATCTGGGAAGCAGCCCCCGCTCACCCTTTCCCACCCCGCCAAGAAATTTACAGCCAGGAATCCAGCCAGCCTGGGCTGAACCACGGCAGTCACGCAGAGTTACTCCACAGTGACGTTCTACGCATTTTTAGATGCCTCATCATGGTAAGTGGTGTCCCTGCCCATGGCAGGGGGGTTGGAAGTGGATGGTCTTTCAGGTCCCTTCCAACCCCAACCATTCCGTGATTGTGTGATGACATCCATTGCAAGTGATGGAGAAGTTTCCAGGTATTAAGTGCAAGGAGTGTTACCACGACATTACGTAACGGAATTTTACAGAGAGGTGAGGGGATAGCAGCACAAAGTTGCTACTTTCAAAAATGCTAAGCTTACCTTTCCCAAATTTCTGAACGAGGTGAGGTGGAATAGGGCACTGGCGACTCTCCCGACTAAGCCACTTATCGGCTGAGGAGAACTGGCGTATGGTCAGCCTTACGGTGTGCGGCTGCCTTCCGTCTTGGTGTACTCTGCGGAGCAATGATGTGCACGGAGCAGCAAGCATTACCACACGTGTTTCTCACAGGGCTACGGAAGCTGTCACAGCACCCGGGTTACACGGTCAAATTAAGCATTACGGATCCCTCCCACCTTCTGGGTTTGCTCCACTGGTTATACCGGGAGTTTGGGTCCCAGCTGGTTCTCTTAATCACCCCTAAGACAGAAGTTCAATACAGCGTGAACGCTGTCGCCCAGTCTTCAGCCAAAGCGAATGTGAAAACCACAAGGGTCAGTCGGCAGTACTGCCACCTTTCAGTATTTCCACCCCCAAAGCAGTGTAGTCTTTGCCATTACACCCTGTGTAATCCTCAGCTTCTAGCTGCTCTTTCGGCTTCTCAAGGAAGCATCCCCACCGGCAGCACAAGGGTAGCTGGCTTTTGGAAGAAGGGTAAGAAACAAAGTACGGAATTGTTTCTTTCCCCCTCCAGAAGTCAAGAGGGGGGTATATTTTCCTAAAAAAAACCCCACCAGATTTCTCGATTCTACATGTTGTGAAGAAGGTAGGAGAAACAGCCTCGCTTCGAATTGCGTGGATACCGAGCAACCTCTGAGATGCGGATGAGAGACTCCGTGCCCTTAACGTTAACGCGACTAAAACGGATGTATCTCCTGTGAGACTAGCGTAGGCCTGGGGACAAAAAACCTTTAACACTCAGAGATCATTTCAGAGGGCAGAGAGTATGAAAATACTAACGAGGGACACAAAGGCTATTCAGGATTGACACAAGGAGGGCTTAAAAATCAGAAGTTGGCAGGACAGGAAGCAGTTCAGTGCGGCTAGTATATTGCTCCTTTCTAGTAACTTGTTTTAAACAGTCACAGGACAGGAAGGGAGGACAGGAAAGTCACAGTACCCAAGACATGACTAAGTGCATCCTCCTGCTGTGCTGCTGCTTTTGTCGAGAATCTTGGGTTTGGATACTGCCTGGATTCACAGGGCAAGGGAAGGAGGAAGAAATTAAAATCTTCCTTCAGACGGAGAGAAGAAGGAGCTGTGGAACAGCAGACAGGCATAAATGGTAATAACCAAGAGTCTGAAAGTAGAGAAA